TTTTATTATTAATTAATTAGTACTTAACATGAACTTAGTGATATAGTTTTTTATATAGATTTACCTATATTGTTCATTATAGGTACCTACACCAAAACTCCAAAACAGAAAATCAGTTTATATGTGTTTGATAAATAATATACAAATAACAAAATAAGTTGCTAATAATGTTGTAATAATGTTTACAGAGTAAATCGTAAAATATTGACGAAATAATGATAATAAAATAATAATCACTAATTTTATCGATTATAATGGGAATAAATATAATGGTACTTCAATTTTTCATTATACATGAAAAATAATTCTATAAATAGAAAGACGGTATTTTTCGCCGACCCACGTGATTGCCTTCTCGTCTTCATGACTATCTATGATAGAGGTACCACCACCTTGCATCTAGCTCCTACCGCGTTCGTCGTTCATCTACCTATGATAGAGGTACCACCACCTTGCATCCTAGCTCCCACCGCGTTCGTCGTTCATCAACCTATGAGAGAGGTACCGCCTCCTTGCATCACAGCGACGCCAGCGCTCCATAGCGGTTGCATCTTACGAGTAGTCGCCAAATATTAACATTGCGTTGACTATCTATCTATTCTATAATCAATGATACAAGTGAATAAAATAGTTTTAGCGGTATTAAATTTTATTAGATTCCAAAATAATTTTCTAACCTCAAAATTTCCTAACCAGTAGCGCTTTTCCCCAAAGTGGTTAACATAGGAAACGTTTTAGCTTTATTAAGCGTACGTATTCTTCTAGACTGGCGCAAGGGAAGTTGTCGGACCTTATTTTATGTGACCGTGGTTGTACGAGCGCTTCCCCGCAGTAAGGCATTTGGCTGGCTTATCATAAAAGAACATTATCATAACTTCAAATCGTAAAATATAAATGTAAATGTAAAATGTAAAATGTAGGACTAGAAGATCTCTTTTGATTTAAAAGGTATATATTAATATACTATTAGGTATATTATAATGTATAGTTTTATAAATTCTGTACATTTGATGAATACAAATTATATTATGTCCTAATATATATGGTAGGTAGGCAGGCACGTAGCTAAAGGAGGGCCAGGGTATGTCTGGCCCATCCTAATATGTGTCCGGCCTTAGGCTGGATCACCCAAAGTATTGAGAGGGGCTCATTATTATATGATTGCTTTTAATTTTTACCAAATTTTTAATATTGCCTAAATATGACGCAAATATAACCAAATACATCGGGTTTTAATTATAATCTAAATAATGTAACTTGTAACTAAATTTAAACGATCGATTAGGAAATAATTGCTATTTATAGCTAAATATAATAACCGGTATTATACTACAATGTCAAGTTGTTCTTATTATATCTAGACAGTGACTACTGTATACTTGTATGTCTATTTTTAAAATACTTTGAGTGAGGGTATTGTCATTATATTGATTCATATAGAAATATAGAATTATATTATGGTGTCCGATTGAGCACTTACATTCACATTCAGCGCATGCCGCACTTATGCTAATGTCACCTGCGTTAATATTTGTACAATTTATAGTATTTATACATTTTATCTCATATATTTAATATTTAAATTAATTTTAAAATGGCACCTCTCAGTGGATGTGCCAAAAGAAAACTAAAATTACAAAGAGAAGAGCAAAATGATAAAATATGGTATTATTAGGTTATATACTATATTAAGAGTTAAGACCTTTAATTCCATTCTTGTAAAAAAATAACTACTTTTTTCTAGTAATTAATATGTAATAAAGTAATTATATTTAATAACTCCAGTCTCCATTACAACTACGCACTTCTTATGTAAATAATATATTATCATTTTATTTTAGTTGTTAAATAATAATGTTCAGTTTCTTTATAATTTTTTTTTTGTAGTAGTATATTATTGAGATTTTTAGTTTCAACTCTAATGTAATGTACAATGTATACATAATATTTTTTCATATGTATTTTATAGTTACTACGTAATTACAATTTACAATTATAACTATAAGCAAATTAATAGAAGTAATATGAACCACGTGCGAATCGCAAAATCTCGAATAGAAGAAGGTTGCAAAACAGCATTAGCAACCAAATGTATCCAGTATATATGCTCCGCTTATACTTGTTACTATCATTTACTTTGTCTATGTTGATGTTAAATTAAAATTTGTTAAATAAAATATCAGTAATACCGTAATAAGTATTCTTGATAAAGTTATTAATCTAACTCTAAAATCCTTACTTCCTAATATTGTCTAACTGTGTTGAACTCACAACTCGGCACACTACTCTAGTTGGTTTTAATAATTCATACTTGTAATTACTATTAAGATAATATCATTTATATACAGTGCTCGACTCGAAAAAATTAAAGAAGAGAGACTCTATTTACTTTTAAAAAAAGGACGTCCCCAAAACTGGCTAAGCGTTATGATTATAGCGTAATAATAGTAGTGGGACACTAAAATTTCTGAAAATTAGTTGGGGTACTCCGTCCCCCTGCGTCCCTCCTTAAGCCGAGCACTGTTTATATAGATATTAGATAATATTGAATTTTTATGTTTAAGATGTTTGTGAATTGTTTTGTTAATACTCAATAAGACATTTAGTAAATAGCCTTTGTGTAGTACATTTTGATAAAGTCTGGTTTATGAAATATTCAAATAGGTAATTGGGTAAATGTAGATATAAATAAACATTATTAAAAGCCATCTCAACATATTAGATAGTTATTGCTGTTTTGTTTTTCTTCAAATGTATCTGGTATATAATGATTTATTTACTGAAATGGTCGAAGCACAAAAAAAAAAGTGTAAAATACGTAAGTAGTATGTTCAAATTTATATTATTATCGTATTATAGTGATTTGATATAATATATTAACAGCCTAACATTATATAGTGGTGATTAAATTACGCGCGTGCGCAAAATGCATAAAGTGCATTCCTGTGTTTAGACGTTCCTCTGTGAATAGACTGTGGGAGATACAATATCACATTGCCAACTGTTCCCCAAGATTGTATATTTTTTATTATCATTGTCAATTGTTAAATGTATGTTCTTTGTATGATGTTAAATCAATGGCAAATTCTCCAGGCATGCTGAGCATGCGCTGCATGCTTTAGAATAAAAACGTTATTAATCAGAATACAAAAGTTATTTTGTAATCAACAATATATTACGTATTTTAAAAGAACGTAATGTATTACAATAATGTAATTTAATTTTGTTATACTTTGTAACATTTAATGACAAAACATGCGATAGATGTGTACGCAAATTATACGACGCTTGTTACCGCTGTAAAATACCAGTTATTCCGAGACCACCTCTACTAGCAGCTACGGCATTTATTACCCAAGGCATGCTCATTCTATTGTGCTTCGTCAATGTCATAATTAATAAATTTTACGTGTACGAGTATATAACAATTTTTCTTCGTTTTGTTTTGCTATTTTTTAATATTGTTTAGTTAGTTAAATATTATTTAAGTAAGTGCTATTGTATTTATATTAAATTAAAGTCTTATTAATAAGTTATTACAAATTTGTGTATTATTTATTAATTATAAATTAAATATGACTATAAAACATTGTGATTAATGAGCATGCCCATACATCAGAGTCAGTATTCGCCACTGTGTTAAATGTGTATACCCTGTCTGTTCGGACGTCGACGGTTACGGCGATCGCTTGATTGAGCTTTACTCGCTCTTGTCACCGATCCGTCGACCGAGTATGATGACGTTTATTTTTTATCTACCGTATAGTACACGACGACATTTTTCCCTTTTGTGCGATTTTGTATCTGTGTTCCATCGAACTAATAGTTTTATTACTCCATCAAGTGTCTGTTAATATACATTTTTATTATTTCTATAATTTTACCGCCTTCGTGTACCATTATTTCAACTACCCTTCTGTGAGTCATTTTGGTGAGTACTTCACATCAACCACACACATCACCACAAATAGACACTATAAATAATACAAGAATATATATAAAAAATTACATTTTAGATGTGGAAATAAATTATTTATTTTGAATTTTAAATTCTTTTAACTACTAAGTCAGTATGATATCCAGTCAGTATTAGGCTTAGATCATATACAATGGATAGAATCATCGCATATCACACCTATAGAATGAGTTGAAGTCAACATAACTATAGGACCGGTGACATCTGCGCATGCTTATCAACCTCTTTTTCGGCTTAAAATTGAATTTAGGCATCACTAATTCTAAATTTACGAAACATTGTTATTGATCATCATTTTGATGTAGCAAATACAATATAATTAATTATATTATTATAATAATGCAATTTGAAACTTAACAATCACTTATACTTTATAGTTAATCGTTATCTTGTTCAATAATCAATTAATTAATATTTGCGCCAAAAATTAATGATAAGATGCCACGCGCATGCGCATATCACTGTGGTCCTACTGTTATGTTGGCTTCACAAATTATTTGTATGACTCCATCCATTGTATATGATCTAAGGTATTAGGTCAGGCTATGGCTTGACTGGCCTAACCTGTAGTTTCGCTTATGGGTATAAATAATATATAAATCATATACAATTGTATTTTATGTATGTACTCTGCCTATATGGATTACGTATAATATATTTTATTTTATAGTCTAAAAATTGTTTTAATATTATCAAACAATTAATACAATATATACCAATATTTTGATTAGATGACACTGATACTGATGCTCTCAAAAATGTATTATTGTCTCTAAATGTATTTCAACAAGTGTTTTGGACATTATGGTAATAGCTGATTTGATATTGCATTATGCTATAGTTTTCTTTCCTGTTAAAATTATATTTTGTGCAAGACTATAAATTCTGAATGAAATGGATTTTATAGGACTAGGTATTAGTGTGTATGAGATGTCAGTTTTAGTCATATTTGTTGAAATACTTTGGTATTTTACTAATTTTAAATAACTTGTTCATATTTAATGGGTGTGTAACGGAGCGAACCGTTTCACATATATTAGTATGGCATTGCTTCAATCATCACCGGCAACGAATTCTAATCGACACTTGTCTTCGCACTCCAGCTCTCCCAAGCATGAGAAAAAAACCAAATATTTCACCTCACCAAATCGATTCGTTGTTTTGTCAACGGCCAATGATGAGCTGGCATCGGACGTATTTACGTCTAACTCCAATGCTACAGAGCGCGAGCAACTACCACCAAGTCAAAACGTACTGAAGTCCTTTCATATGCCGGCGATTTACGTAAAGAACATCAGAAACTTTTCTGAGTTTCATAAAAAATTAATACACCTCACGGGTATTAATGATTTTTCTTGTAAGTCCACACAATCTTATTTAATAATTAGGGCCAACAGTCACCCTGCCTTCGCCACCATTTCGAAGTATCTAATAAGCACTAGCGCGGAATTTCATACCTTCCGTCCCCATTACATGCGTCACTTTAAGGTTGTAATTCGTAATTTACATCATACCACTATTCTATCCGATATCTCCGATGCCCTGACGGAGCATGGACACTCTGTGGTACGCGTGGTGAATATAAGAAAGAATCAACGTCCATTACCTCTTTTCCACGTCGAATTGGCACTTAAGAATAATAACCACAATATCTTCAACATATCAACATTGCTCCATTCCATTGTAGTCATCGAAAAACCACACTCTAAAACATGGGTTCTCAACCTTTTGAGGTCCACGCCCCCTTTCAAAATATTTTATGAGTTCATGCCCCCTCCCCCCCTCTTCACTGGTATAAGATTGATGTGAAATCGTAATATTTTTTGCGGGTCACCAAAACTTGTTCTTATCGCGTCGAGTGTCGGTTTTTCGCCGAAACAATGCTTCTATTAATATCCAGAATACTAAAGAGCATAAATATATGATTTGTATAATCTTATAAAATCATAATAATCGCTCGGTGTATGTCTATTGATCGACCCCGGCGGCGATTAACACACCAGCAATGCACGGCGTAGAAAACGGCAACGTTTTCATTTTTCGTATTCTTTTTCAACATTTTCACGCCCCCCCTGAAATTTTGTCACGCCTCCCTAGGGGGGCGCGCCCCCCAGGTTGAGAACTCGTGCTCTAAAATTAATGATCCACCACAGTGTTTTAAATGTCAAGCATATGGTCATACCCGCAATTACTGTTGTCACTCCCCTAGATGCGTCAAATGTGGTGAGGACCATCTAACTGCTAACTGTATCAAAGACCGGTCACTCCCGGCTAAATGCGCTCTGTGTTCTAGTGATCACACAGCCTCATACAAAGGATGCCTAATTCGCAAGAAATTGGTACTATCAAATAAAAAAAAAACAAAAATGCCAGATACTCAAAGGCAAAAAGCTCGTACTCGTCATCATGGCAACAACACCAAAGTGGGTCCAACGTATGCCAACATATCTTCAGAGCAACCAACACACACTATTTCTGATACTATATCTACATTTCTGATTGAAATAAAAATCTTATTAAACCCTCTACTTTCCCTTTTCACCGTCCTAATAAACAAACTCACAACGAATTCCCCATAAATTATCACAACCAATTACCAACAATTGCATTCAACCTATTTATGTAATCTATACGCCCTTATCTTTATATTAACCTTATTAATATTATTATATTTTTGGTTTTTTTTTTCTATTCTGTATACCTATTCAATATTATGATACAATATCTTATTGTTAATTTAATTTAATTACGTTGTAGATAATATAATTGTTGAGCTGTAATAGTTAATACTAAAAGCTAAATAAAAAAAAAAAAAAAAATAACTTGTTAAATTGTTTTAATTTTGAATGTTCAATATTTATCTATTACTGTTACATATGTTATACTTTTTTTTTTTTTTTTTAAAAAAATGTTTATACAGTATATTCTGTTCAATAAAAATAATTTTGGATTGGTGTAGATATTTTGACTCTCATTGGAATTATTAATTATATTATTATAATAAAAATGTTTATACATTGATGTGAGGAATAAAATAATTACAATTTTACTTTTTTTAAAAATATTTAATACTTATATTAATTTATTTTTTTGTAGTTTTCGCTTTGCTGCTGATATTACCTGCAATATTCACCTGCCTTCAACATTTTGATTACCAAACGATTTTTTTAAAGACCAACCAATAATTTATAATTCGTTTTGTATTTAATATTTTTTTAAGTTTTTTTTTAGCACACGTATTCAGATACGGCTTTGAGAGATCATGATTATGTTATTTCAGTCAACCGTATTGAGGAAGGAGAAATCAATTCTTTGTAAAATTTCAACAGTGCAGAGATGACTTTAAAGTAATAATTGTTTATTTTTTTTTTATATATAATTAGTTTTTGTGTTTCAATTATGGTTCATTTCTGTAAATTGTATGTACTTTATTAGGTTAGAAATTATATTTCCAGAAAAGAGAGAAAATATATCAATAATGATAAAAGGATGTGTACAGCAGCTGAATCAAGACGGTGACTTATTGATGTTTTTGAGAAATGGTCACCGTAATGATGGTTATGTTCAACGACAATTCGGGCCATATCCTAATATATAATAATATATTACATTCTTATTGTTTTCATATATTGTAAACTAATTTTATTATTGTTTTTTATACCTTGTAATATGTACTAGAGTTATTGTTAAATCAAGATGATTATTAAACACATGTTTTTTTTACTTTTAAGTATTTCATTAGTAGTTATACAAGATAGGCCTAATTTAACTTAAGTTTCTGCTGCAATTCTTATATTCAATTTCATAATATTTACTGGTCATTAAAATCTTAATGTCGTTCTTCAGTTAAATATGTTTTCCTCGTTACTAGCATTACCATGTACATATTGTAAAATGAAATCTAACTTGTTACTATGTGTGGTTAGTTTCTCTGGTCATTCAATTTGAATAGATTTGGTTAATTTTAATTCAATGATATATAGTCTATTAGATAATCTGATAATTGCTTATCTTTACCTTGATATAAACAAAAGTGTTTTATATATTAATTTATGTATATATTCAGTGATGTACATTCAATTTTCTTATGAAGGGAAATTTAAACGACGTATATTATTGTATATGTTTATCAGAAGATTTCACCTAAACAGTCATTTTTATCATAAATCATAATACTTTTTTTGTGTTCCGAGGAGGGGTTTATCCCGAAATCCCTCTCCATATGTACACCACTGTACTTATAAACAAAAAGAAAAAACATCAAGTCATGTTTATGTGTTGGATACTGCAGTCTCCGAAGTTCGATAAAATGTATAATAATAGCACAACCGATTTTAAAATAATGTTTATTTAATCGGTAGATGATACTCTTGAGTACCCATCAGTTAAAAACGCAAAATAATTGTTCTCTGAATTTCATTCATATTTTATTTTGTTGGATTTGTAAGTAACCTGAATCTACATAAAGTTCATATATTTTCACAATATAATTATATTATTAATATTATTATTATTATTATTATTCAAAATAAATATGATTATCAATGGAAATTTCTTTTTGGATCTGCGAATTGAAAAATAAATAAATATTTTTGGTTGGTGTCACTACGGCGGCAAGATTGGTGGGATTTTTACATTTCGATATTGGTACTTTTGATTTTTTGATATTTTTGTTATCTCATGTTAATTATCTCAGGGGAACGATTGCCCGACACCCCAACTTTAGATTCAATTTACTTTACTTTCAAAAAACAAATTAATGTAATTGGTTAATTATTTAATATTATATATTTTTTTTTTAAAAAAAAAACATTAGTTTACTAATGCTCAGTGGTTAAAGTAGGGAAAATGTTGTGGGGGGTGTTACGTGCCAACCGTTTGATCCATTAATTCAGTTCAACGTCTCAGTCAACGCTTGATTGGAAGTGTAGTCAGGAATAATTAAGACTTATTTAAAATAATTAAATTTATTTAACTCGTAAAATTATCCTAACTACAATTTTGTAAATATTCTAGGTAGAAATTATCTAAGTCCTAACAATTGTAACTTATAAAAAATAATTGAAATATTTCTAAGTCCAGACCATAACATACACTGACGTGAAGGTGCTCAGTGCAGCATAGCCAAAATTCGTCTGATTTGCCCTTGTTTTCGGGTCCCTTTTATATCTGGTATCTGCAAGTGTGTGTGTAAATGAAAACTGATAGTAAAATAATTAAAATAAGATAATTTCCTGTTAATTATGAGTGTGTGTGCGTTATCTCCGGACCGTGACATAATTATTGACGCAAATGCCCAGGATGTGGTTGTTAATATTTCGATTAACTATTTATTTTAATTTCCCATAAGAACGTTTATGTGAACTCTTTCACTTGTCCACGCTTGTGGTTTCGATATTCTAATTTCTTATTGTAATCTCTAGTGTAATAACCACGTGAGTACAATAATCTCATCCCCGGTTATTGTCTTATTGTGTGAATACGCAGGACGCGACACTCCCCGTGTTCTGTTTTATTGTGTGACTACGCAGGACGCGACAGGGGACTATATTCATCAAACATTGAGGAGCGTTCCCTTCCTAATTTTAAATCTTACTAACCTTTTTTAGGAAACCCATGATTTCTAAACCTCCTTAGTTACACATATATGTTCATAAAAATTTTATTTTCATTGGGTGTAAAAACAAATTTTCCCCAAAGAAAAATAATTCTATACATATGCCTGCTCAAAAAAAATAAAATTGATATACATAGTAGGTAATGTTTAAAAAACTTAAATCTAACAAAACTAAAAAGAAACAATTACTAACTTTGCTAGTTGTTGGTCGATGTAGATGATAACTAGGGTCCGGATTTGTATGCACTCAAAAACCTTAAAATAGTATGCATTTATGCATCAAAAACCTTTAAATATGCACTTGATATGCTCTTATTTTTTTTAAAATATGCAAAAATATACCTTATCCAGAATATATGCATTTATATTTTTTTTTAATTTTTCCCTTATATATTAATATAACTTAATTAAACAAACTTAATTTTTTTATTACCGACACTACGAAATCAACTTACAACATTAATTATAGAACAAAAAATGTTAAAAAATTACATTAAATTAATAAAGTGCACTTTAGTTAAAAATAATAATAAAAAAAAATGTATTTAATTCTTTTACACCATAAAAATATATATATATATATCTTTAGTAAATATTTATGAAAAAAAATATATACAATGAAGACGATTAATATTTTTCGTAATCTCTAACGATTGTAGTAAAGTCAATTTAGTATCTTCTAAGTTTGTAATTGCCCGAATAAGTCCAGAAAAGTTAATTTTTATAAATTTTAAATCATTTTTCATTTTTCTGTATGCAAATTGAACATTTTTTTACGATAATTTTTTACAATAATTCTATTACACTTTTAATACTTTCATAGTTATTTGCATTAAATATAACTGCTTCTATCCATATCCCCCATCTTGTAATAACTGGTTTCGGGGGCAATGGTAAACCAGGTAACATTTCTTTGTATAGTTGAATACGAGAAGGCGACTTTAAAAAAGATTTCTTTATATTGTTAATTAATTTATTTACATTGGGGAATAACTTTCTTTACCTTTTCTGCTACTCTGTTTAACATATGTGCTACGCATGTTACATGGATAATATTTGGGTAAAACACTTAATGCATCTCCAGTTTTAACCATATATGGCGCTGCATCTGATAAAAACAATCTTAGGTTTTCATCGTTTCCCCCAGCGGGCCATAATATTTTTAAACTATCGTTAATAAAACGAGATACGGTAGAGTGATTTGTTGTTGGCAGTTCCTTACATGCTAATAGATAGGGTTGACTTAGTGTATCACAATCTAAAACGCCAACTAATAAATTTGCTATATAGCGACCGTTTGTATCAGTTGTTTCGTCAACAGAAATCCAAATATCTGAATTGCCAATAATTTCTCGAATTGCAATTATATTACTATTGTAACATGGACCAAGATAAATTTTTCTAAGTGTATTTCATCGGGAATATGCTTACTTGTGCACTTCTCCATAAAATTCTTGAATTCTGGAATTTAAAGTTTATTCCATGGTATATTAGCGACTATCAAAGCTGAACAAAGATCCTTCTTAAAAATGTTACCAGATTTAGGTTTTGGGTCGAATACAAATAATTGTTTTTTGTTATCATTTGCTTTACGGTTTAAAGCACTTTTATGCAAAGCGGTATCAACGTGTTGTTGTATTTGAAATTTTTTTGTGTAAACGATTTTTTTGTCACACAATTGACAAAACACTATAGAACCGTCCGTAGTAAAAATTGTGTGGTCTGTTTTATTATACAATGCAATCCATTGTTTTATTAAAGTTTGAATATTACTACGACTTTTCGGCATTTTAAAATTTACGAGTGTACGAAAATTTACTAAAGAAATTCGTTTCTATACGGAATGCGGATTACGAAATTATATATTATATATTAAATATTTATAGGCAATTACCGACTGGCGATTACTGCATGGCGATTAAATACCAACTAAAATGTACAACACGAGGCAGCGTGTTTATACAATATAAGACTAAAAATCACGATAATAATAATAATAATCATGCTAAAAATATAATAGTATGAAGGAAA